GCATGCCGGGCCTGGCCACGGAGCGCAGGAGGACCAGCAGAGACACCAGCGTGCCCGCCAGGACGCCGTACTGCACCTCCCAGAAGCAGAGCAGGAAGGTCACGCTCAGGGGCAGCAGGTCCAGCCCTGGGGAGAGGGGTGCGCTGAGGCCTCCTCCGGCGGGTGTCAGGTGGGGGGGCAGGAGGAGGGGAGACCCCCACCCCTGCAGGGGCTGAAGGCACTCTTGGGGCCTGACCCCTGACCCCGGGTGACCCTCCCAGAACCACGTGAGCCTCCAGCTCCAGCTGGTGCTGTGGTCGGGGACGGCAGGGCTGCGCGACCTCGCACTGACAGACGAGGAGCCACGTACTCCTCACGCGCCACAGCGTGCAGGCGATCCTGGTGTCCAGCAGCGGGGCCACGGCCGTGATGATGACGGCCGCCAGCGCGGCCTTGGGGATGTAGTAGAAGAGCGAGGTCAGGTAGCCCAGCGACAGCAGCACCAGAACCCCTGTGGGTGGGGGTTGGGGGGAGATACCACTGACCGGGGCCCTGAGCTCACCCAGGACGCAGGGGGAGCCCGCCCGGGATGCAGCGGGGGGCCAGGCCGACTGCACTGTGGTCCTCCCGCCCCTTCCTCCCATGTCACAGCCTCAGCACATGGGGGTGCAGTGTGGGGGCTCACCTGTCACCAGGCCCCCCGCAGGGGTGCACACCCCCGACTGGGCGTTCACGGCCGTCCTGAAGGCGACATGGAGACCATCAGTGGCAGCCAGAGCAGGGGGTGTCAGTCCACACAGGCAGCTGGTCTCCGGGGACAGGGGTGCCCCCAAGGCTTAGGAGCACACGGAGCTTTGGGCATAGCGACCAGCTTCCCACTGGCTGCGGTGCCCTCCCCCTGACCCTGCGCAGGCGGCCCCGCCCGCAGAGCCGTGAGGGCAGAGCCCACTAAGCAAGGCCCTCGTCCCGACTGCTGTCCTTCTAAGGAGACGGGTCAGGACAGACACGCCAGGACGGACACAGGGACGACCACGTGGGGGACGCAGCGAGACGGCACCTGCCAGCCACGAGCGTGGCCCTAGGAGAAGCCACGCCGCCGGCTCCGGGCCTCCTGAGCGAGGCATCCGGGTCTGGGGCTGGAGCTGCCATGGCTGGCGCTGGTTGGGCGGATCTGCCCAATAACACGCCCGCACCCGGGGTCCCGGGCCCTGGGGAAGGATGGGGGGGGGGGGGCTGCTTTTACGGAGAAAAACTGATGGGGCTGTCGGGTGAGGGGTCCCACTTAACCCATACACACGTCACATGTGCGGACACACAAGTGCATGTGGGTACATATTTGTGAGCACAAACACCCGTGAGGACGCCAAACCCGCCGTGGGCTCCTGGGGGCGGGCCTGTTGGGAACAGGCTCCTTCCTGGCTCAGCCGCAGGGGCTGTTGGGAGCCCCGCACCCACACCCGATGCAGGAGCTCTCTGCCCAGAGCCCCCTCCGCCACCCACGGCCGAGCCCAGCAGCAGGGGGCTGCCTCGTCCACCCCCCAACGCTGAACCGCGCCCCGGGCCAGCTGTACCCCTCGGGACGCAACCTGCAGTGTGTGCCTGTCCATGGAGGCCTTTCCCGGCCGCCGGCCACCCCCAGGGAAGCTGATCAGGGAGCTGACAGGACCTCAGCCTCGGCCGGGACCTCCCAGGGACTCAGACAAGCAGGGCGGGCACTCACCGTCCGAAGCTGCCGGTGACCGGGAAGGAAGAGAAGAAGGAGCCCAGAACGTTGGTCAGGCCTGGGCATGAAGCGGGAGAGGGTTACCGGGAGGGAGAACCAGGCGGAGGTGGCGGACGGAGTAAAGCCAGAAGGAAACAG